TGCTGCCAGACCGCAGCTCCGTCTGTCTCCTTTTTTGGTATTTTCATGCAAATTCTTCTGCTAATTGGGGTTTAGTCCACGTCTATATCCTTTCCTTCAAGGCTCAGGGGTCCAGGATTATCTTCTGTGTCTCTGTTAATTGGTTTCCCTTTTCTTTGTTTAAGAGGGTCTGTGCAGTCTTTCTGCCTAGTCCGCCATCTCCCGCTCCATAGAGTTTTCAATGACTGATCTTGAAGAAGTATGTAGATCACCAGGTCTCTCTTTGGAGGCATCTCTGGGTGAATTCAAACTGCCAACTTTTTGCTTAGTAACTGAATGCGTAATCATTTGTGCCACCGAGGCTTCTACACACTCCTAAGGGGCATCTCTGTGTATAAGCCCGGCCCATACAAAAGGGGTATTATTCTGACCATCTTCCTTTTCCTACTAGTAAAGAAACAATTCCTGGTGTTGTCATTTGAGGAAGAGGGACTGAACCTGGTGCCAAACCCACCTTTAGGAAGAATAAAGGGAGAGAGGATATTTTAGTATGTCCCTTTATCAGTATTATCTTCTTGATGCTTTACAGAAGCCTGTTGGGTACAAATTCCTACCCCTGTTTTATAGATTAAATAACTGAAGAAAAGAAAAGTGATGTCCAAGTTTACCCAGGTAAAATGTGGCAGAGCTAACCTTTGAGTGACAGCTTGACCCTAAAGCCCTTTCAGCATACCTGCAAGCAGGGCTGAGCCCTAAGGGGTAAATCTCAGGCAGGCATGGAAATTTTGGCCAAAGTTTAGGCCACAGTCAGGAATGGAAGCTTCTATCAACTGAGAGGATTCCAGCCCAGTGAGGGCTTGAACCCCAATTCCAGGTAGAAGGCCCATACTCACAATAGTCTTGTATCACTCAGTTTTGGAAAAGGGCTCCTGACACAGAGAGAAAAGTGTGTCAAGGCAAGACTAAGGAACTTCTGAGGCATTTGATTATGTGTTCATTTGTAAAGACTCTGTATGCTACTGAATCATCTTTACAGAAGCCAATTACCAGGCTAATTCTTCTGTGGTACCACTGGGTGGGTCTAAACTTTAGATTACCAGCCAAGTGCAGACAGCCTGCACCATCCAGGGACCTTAAGACTGAAGGAATTCTGGACAAAACACATTGGGACTAAAGAGGCAAGCAGATAAATTCATCAATAAAAGCGAACTTTAGTGTTCATTTACAGCAGCTAAGGAGAAGCTGAAATATTCAGGGAAACCCGGACCTGGGGTCCAACGCTGTGAATTCTATGTCTAAATATAAGACTAGGGATGTGGCCTTTATACCTTGGGTCCAAGCCATATGGTGGGCCAAAGGACTGGACAGGGGGAGGAGTTACCACAGTCAGATTCAGATGCAAGGCACAGGGAGAAGTAAGAGAGAGGCTAAGTGCTCTCCCAAGGTTGGGGTAAGGCAGTCCTGGGGATTCTATGTGTGGTTTCCCATGGGAAAGCCCCAAGACATAAAAAGGTTATTTTGATCAAAGGCATTTGTACCTCTTTCTACTATCTCCATAATGCTTTATTCAAGGGAAACAGTGATTGCTCAGTAAATGCCAAATTCAAGGATAGCATCCAAATTCTTCAATATGGTACAATATGATACTCAATATTCTTATCATTTGTCCCCCAATTATCTTCTAGATTTATTCCCACCTTGCCTCACCCCTCTTTTCTATTCATATCACACCAGTCCCTCCAAATTTCTTTCATTTCCTGAATATGTCCCCCATTGGCACCCTTTCTTTGTGCCTTTGCATAGGTCGTCTGTGTTTGGAATCCCCTTCCCCAGCTTTCTCTTGACAAACTTCTACTCAAGAGTTAATGTTCTACTCGTGTCCAAATGCCAATGAGCTCTCTCCAGTTCTATAAAGAACAGTAAGTATTCCCACAACATCTCGTAACTCTTTTGCAGGACTCAACCTACTGTTTTGGAAGTACCTGCTCACCTCTTTGTCTTTCCTTTGGACTCTAAGCTCCACAAGAACAATAACTGGGTTTTATTTGTCATTGGTAAATATCTGTCAGCTATTCTGACTGAAAGGCAAGTCAGTTTCTGAAGAATCTGAGATCTGTGACTTGAAAATTCAATTCCAGCCACTCCTGCAGAAAGCTCTTTACCTGTGTCTGGAGTGTCTTACCTGCTATAGATGTGAGTGTTGATGCTGTTTCCTAGACTGACAGTGCCATCCCCAAAGTTCCACAGATAAGCAACATCTGTGCCAAAGTTGATCCTGCATTCAAAGGTTACACTGGCATTTACCAGAGCAGAGGAGGTAGACGAGAGACGATTGGCAACAATTTTCTTCTGGACACTGATGGGGTGGGGTTCTGAGACCACACTAGTGATCCCATTGGAAGCTTTGACCATCACACAGTACCTGTGAGATGAAGCCCCAGAGGCGAGGAAAGTCAGATGGCAAGAGAGAAACAAGACCAGAGTTAGAATCTCTACACTACTTCAAAGAGAATGGCAGGGGAATTTTGGCATTTAATTTGCAGGAATAACTACAACATCTAATATCTTCATCTTATTAGAGAGAAGGAAGAGTAAAAAAGTTTTGAACATCCTTCTTTATTATTTAATTCACATCTCAAAGCAAGTAGAGGAGGGATCATTATGCTTTTTTTAGATGAATTTTGTCAGATCTTTCTCAGCCAGCATTGCTGGCTAACATGAGATTTGAACCCAGGTTTTTCTGATTTCAAAGCCCACACCATTTCATTTCATTTAGGCTGAAAGGAAGGGTGCCCTCAATACATTAAATCTGCTCTTGAGTTTAATCCCCATAAGTACTTTAGTAGCTTGTTACAATTACAACATCTTTAAAATTATTTGAATGGTAGCACAATAATCCTTAGATATGAGATAAAACTGTATTATCACCAGTCACACATCACTAGGATCATGTTCACGGACCGCTGGGGTATGTGAAATTTCTTTTTAATGCTTCTTGAAGTTGTCCTCACTGGTAGGTCTTCTCCAAAATGCCACTCAAACTCCAGGGGACTCATTTCCTTGGTAACAGCTACAAAAGTGATGTCTACATCTGTGGCAAACACAGTTCCATTTGTGTAGACAGAAACAGCTATAAGGAAAGAAAAAGAGGAACAGATACTTCAGAACGGAGGGGCTGGAACTTATGCAGGAGAGGTTAGCACCTCTACTTTCCCATTTAGTCATGCATCTGAGTGATTGTAATGAACCTCCAAATGTGGATGCAAGGTTGTGTGGGCAACTGTAGAAACAAGGTCAACAAAAGTAGTAGCTTAAAAAATAATATGGCCAACTCCTTGTGGAATTTTCCTTAAAAGGGTATGGTATGGGGGACCTAACAGGTAATTTTGCTTGATGCCCTACCTTCTTTCACCTTTAGATTGGAGCTTTCATACCTATGAGTTGTAGTACAACTCTAGAACACAGGTCAATAAAGAGCCCTGTAAGGGCAAATGAGGGTCTCAGGCAGGGCTGATAACAGGACATAGTAGTGCTGAATATGGCTGTCATAATCTCAAATGATAGCATGAAGGAGACTTGGTTAAATCTGTAATCAGAACAAAAACATACGCTGCATCTTATACCAAACAGTCACGCAGGGCCATGGTTGGCTGTCACCCACTTGATTTTGAGAAGTGAAGGACACATTATATGAGGAAATGGGTGGAAAATGATGCATAATAACAGTGCCTAAAATGAGAAAAAAAGAAAGTAAGAGAAAAAGTCTTAAAATTTATTCACTTGTCTCAAGGAACACATGGTCAATATTTTAGTTTTTTATTTCCTTTGAATACCAATGCATTTCCAAATTCAAGGCAGGTGTGTTGAAACAAACTAGGCAAAACAGGAATTTCTTCAGAAGTTCTCCTGTCACAAAATTTCTCTTATTATAATTTCCTTTAAGTGTCTACTCTATCTCTCTTGAGAATTCAATAATAATTGAATAAATATATTGCTTGAAATAGATTGTTAGATCATCTTGCTTTAAAAGTACTTCTCCAATGTGTGTGTATGAAGTATTCTGACTCACAGGAGTTCTTAAAATTGGCCCAAGTATAAGTCTCAAACTTTTAAGCCCTCCAATTTTATGTAAAAGTTTACATACACACACACATACCTATATAATGAGGACAGATAGATTCTGTCAGATTCTGGAAGGGTGCTATGATTATCTTGAAAGATTTAAAACAACTCATCTACCATAAATGGATATTTTAATAGTTTGTATTATTGTTTCTGCATGTTGTTTTCTCTTTAAAAGAGAAGATGTTCATTTATAATAGCAATAAAGTAGAATGGATAATTTGTCCTTCATAAATCTATTAGAATTTCTCATAAGTAAATATCCAATGAGTAAGAATGACATTATCTTATTAACCATGCCTAAAACTTAATTCTGACCACAGTCTGATATTTAACAACTTTGAGAAAAGTGCAACCAATGGATTTGCACAAGATTACCATTTATTGATCTGTGGAGCTGGTTTGAAACTCAGACCTTCTTATTACAAATCCTGGTATGGAACAGGTTGAGAACATACAAGGACTATTTTTATACTGGGTGAACAAGCTGCTTATTTATTAAAAATTTAGATAACACAACTAAATATGAATGACAATATGATGGTTAGGACATGCTGATAGTTAATAAAATAACAGCAACAAATGCTTATTTTACTTTTTCTTGGACAGAGAGTTTCTCAATAAGCTAATTATATCGATTTATATGGAAAATATACAATCAAGGTGTAAAACAAGTTGTAAGAATGAGTTCATCGTGGCGCTTCTCCCATTTGCTTCACCTTTGTCCTGTTTCTGGGAAATATAAAACCATAATTCCAGTCACTTTGGACTGGCTCCAATCCAATACTTGCTGGGTTATAAAATGGTGACTTTTATCTCTGTAACATTGCTGATATTTAACTGGAATTCCATATTCTCATTCCCATTGGCATCTAAGCTCAGGTTTCTCCTCTATAAAAAATGAGATGAAAAGAGTACCTCCTAATAGAGTGATTGTGATGATAAAGGGAGATAATATAGGTAAAGTACTTAGTAGAATGCCTGGCCCATTATAGCTCTCAATGAATTCCAGTGGTTGTTCTTTCTCATCTCTGTGCTTATGATTCTTGCATGCTGTCTTCTCAAAATGTTCCTCCTATCCCTGTTTTTTCATGTCCAAAGGCCCCTCTTCAAGGCTTATGCCATATGCCAACTCCTACATCAGATATGCTTAATTCCTCCAGTTAATGTAATTCTCCACTTTTCCTGAAATCTCCAAGCATCTCTGCAATATTGTTCTTAAGGCACTTTTACAGTGTATCTCATATATTTCATATTCATATATTAATTCCTTTACTAGATTATAAAGTATTTGAAACTAAGACTTCTGAATGACTTCTTCTATATGTCCCCAAACCATACTATTATGCAATAAATATTTTCTAAAGGAAAGAAGACTAAACAATGAATAATATATCTGAATTTAGTAATTGAAGCACAGAGTCATGCTTTCCTCATTGATGTGGTCGGGCTGCTTAGATTCCACATGCAGGTCTTACTTTTCTGCTTTGTATGGGAGTCAACAAAAATAAGAACTTCATCCTCATGCACACTGCTGGAATTCATGAACACAGATACAACCTCATGAACAATCTCCACAAAGTAAGGTCCAACTTCCACTTTAGTTCCATAAAACTCAGGATAAATAACTGCCTTGAGCATATAGATACCTTCTGGAAAAAAAAAGAGAGAATGATAATTTAGTAAATTTCTAAAAGAAGGTATAATATTTAACATTTGCTTATGTTGGGCCTAAGAGTGACTATGGTGGGGCAACTAACATGGTAATACGGTAGCAAGTCCAGCCTCATGAGCATGCTACCTGCACAGTTGCATAGGGCCTCACACTCAGAAAGGCTCACACTTAGTTCAGTGTTCTGATGTTACCATCTTGAAATTTTATACAGTTTTTAACAAGGAATCCTGTGTTTTCATCCTGTGCTGGGCCCTGGAAAATTATGTGGCCTAACCTGTATAGTAAGATATATTCACAAGGATGAGATTAGACGTCAAACATCCCACTTCTAGGAAAAAACAAAATACTGAAAAAAAAAACAGTCAAATATATCAAAGAACTATTGTGGTAGATTACCCCAAATTCATTCCCTGTTTCCACAGCCTTATAATATGACTATAGTATCACTTCTGAACTTATCTCAGCAGGTGATGAGTTTATTTCCTCATCCTTTGAATTGGTGCTGATCTTTGGTCACTGAGTTGAAAGAGAGCTTGGACTTACCCTATCTTTATGCTCTTGGTCCCCTGTCATTGATGCCATGGGAATAAGCCCAGATTACCCTGCTGACTTCATCTCACCTCTTTTGGTCATGTTGTAAGAAGGGACCATTCCCTGGAGAAGGATGTCATGCTCGGTAGGGTGGAGGGTCGACGAAAGAGGGGGAGGCCTTCAACGAGATGGATTGATATGGTGGCTGCGATGATGGGCTCAAGTATAGCAGGGATTGTGGGGCTGGCGCGGGATCGGGCAGTGTTTTGTTCTGCTGTGCATGGGGTCGCTATGAGTCAGAAACGACTCGACGGCACTTAACAACAACAACAAACAACAACACCCTGCTGAAGGATGAGAGACACATGACTGAGTTGCCCCCACCACCCCTGCCAATATTCCGCTTGTCTCCAGAAGCAAAAACACTTAGCTGGCTAGATGACACAGGTCCATAAATGAGCCCATCTGAGACCAGCACAGATCAGAACTTCCAGCAGAACTGTGAGCTAAATAATGGTTGAATTTATCATGAGTATGATAAATTCTTATGCATATTAAAGTTATAGATGCTTAAAATTAATAGAGCCACTAAGTTTTAGAGTGTTTTGTTATGTAGCAACACATATTGATACAATTCCACTGAGTTAGAAAGATTGTTAGTAATTTTCTAATCCCAATCTCTAACAGTATTTTTAAATTGTATATTTGATCCTATCATTCCTTAGCTTTAAAATGTCACATGATTTCTGATGTGGCAGGATAAAATTCTTAACTAAGCCCATCACCCTTAGCTGATCTGGTCCCATTTACCTGTTCTTGCACATGCCATGCACACACCAGATTCATCATGTAGACAGAATGAGTCTCCACCTCTCAGACACCTATTCTCTATGGCAACTCCACACCTTTGTATAGCCTTTCTCTTATCTACAGTGTCTCCATCTGGCCAACTCTTATCTAGCCAGAACTTCTTTTAATGATCTAAGCAGATTCAGTGGCTCCATTCTGCATCTGGCCATAGAATTTGGGTTTTGCTTCCCTTTCAGAACATACCACACTGTCAGTCTTCTTGTCCCAAAACACCAGCACAGAGCACATAGTAGATGAATGGTTATCAAATGAGCAACAGAATTTTGCACATTGGAAAACTGAAGTTCATAGAGGTTAAAAGAGTCATTGTAGGCACAGAATATGCAATTATTTCTTAGGAATTAAGATAGACTTTCCTACCTTTTTTCTGCATCTCAATTATATTAGTGTAATAAGAAGTAGAAAAGAGGTAGTAATTTTAAAGAGCAAAAGAATATTTCTGAGGAAGGGTCATGTACGTGGTACAGGAAGATTTGGAAACACCGTGATAAGCACGGACCATACTAAGTGTGGTCAAGATAATATATAAACTTGGAAGCCACATCTTAACTGCTGAGACATCATCTACAAAGAGTTATTTCTCTTTCTTACAACACTCCTTCTCATGACTGTGTCGAAACAAATTCTGCATATGAATCTTAATGATAAGTAGAAGGTGAAATGGACATTCAAGCAAATTCTCATATTCACTGAGACCAAGACTTAATTAAGAGCTGTAGGATGTGTAAATGAAAATTTCTCATGTTTCAGTCTACAAAGCATATTTAATTACTGAGAGTTAGGAAACATAATTTATTATAATAGTTCAGAGACTTTGTTTTGAACTCAGAGAGACTTGGTATTGGGACTCTGTCTCTTAGAGTATGATAAATTCTTATGCATATTTAGCTTGCAATCTAATTTTAGACTAAACTTCTATGGGGAGAATAGTACATCAAGTCCTTATTTTACTCTTGAAGTCACAAAAAAATCAATTAGTATATATTAAAATTATGGATGCTTAAAATTAATAGAGCACATTCTGATTTGACCACCATATAGTCAGCATTCCACTGAACCTTCCATGAATTAATCCAAAAGCAACAAGGCAAATCTGTATTTAAAATACAAACTCCCCCATTTCGTGTGTGTGTGTGTGAAACTAGTGTATTGGGCAAGGTCACAGCTCCCCAAAATGGCTTCCAGACCCCATCCTGTTTAGCCAAATGCTAAATAATGCAAAGTCATCCTGCCACCTCCCTTTTTCCCTCCCGGACCACATTCCTTAGTTAATACCAGCATCTTGGGCACATGCTGCCAGGCCTTGCCCAGGACCCCCTACCAGCATAGGGTGGCACTAAGTATCACACTAGGTGCATAGCCCCTGTGTGATAGTTACTCAAACAGAGGGATAAATTTATCTGGGAACAGGAAAAGGTTTAGTAGACTCAGAAACTAACCAGCCACCCGAGGCTGTACTCAAAGTCATTTTTCTTGCAAGCTCCCTCTCCCACTCTTTGAAATAACTCTTTCTTGTCTCTGGGCAAGCCTCCAGTGTAGTTTTTCGGTCTCTCCAATCCCAACCATTGAAAGCCACTGCAGCTCTCAATTACAACCTAGACAACTAGGAACCAGGTACCATGCTTAGAATCCAAAATAGATGCAAAACAAACCAAACTCACTGCCATCAAGTTGGATCCAACTCACAGCAACTCCTTCAGTTTCTGAGGTGGTATCACTATGGAAATAGATTGCTCAATCTTCCTACTGAAGAGTGGCTGGTGGGTTTGAACCACCAGACTTCTGGTTAGCAGTCAAATGCCTTAGGCACTACACCACCAAAGCTGAAGCACTGCTACAGCAATAAAAATTCAGCATGGAAGAATGGCAATCTGTTTCAAGAAGAGAAGAGAAGATGGCCTGCAGTAAGTGTCAAGAGGACTCTAGTTGTAAATATCATTTTTAAATTATACTTTTTGAAAATAAGGAGCATCCAGGGGGTACAAAAAATGTAACCCTTGTTTGCCACAGTGGGGATGAAGATGCACTGGCTAGGAGCAAGAGTCTCTCTGGATTGATTTGCTTCTGAGAAACAAGGAAGGGAGGGATAATTGAAAAATCATACAGACAAACCACATTTGTGAGACACATTCTGCTTCTGTGACAGTACAGGAGAAAAGAGTCTGTACTGCAGGGAAAATTCTGACTGCCTAACTCCATTAGCTAGAGAAAAAAACAAGGTCATATAAACCACAAACAAAACTCTATTTCATTACAAATATCTCAATTAATGTATAAAAACTGCCTTGGAGACACACGTATACATCTTCTGTAAACAATCAGTCCAGGAAAAAAGACAACTCCAATTATGAGTAAAACTACAAAGAAAGAGAGAGAAGGAGGAAGGGAAGTAGCAATGGAGGAGGGAGGGAGGAAAGAAAATACAGAGAAATTATTCAGGATATATAAGGTAATACAAGAATTAAGGCTAGAAATCCAGGAAATTCCTATAATAAATTAAGATCATGTACTTAAAGGGAGCTCTGGTAGCATAGTGGCTAAAGCACTTGACTGCTAACCAGAAGGCTGGCGGTTCAAACCCACCAGCCACTCCTCGGAAGGAAGGTTGGGCAATCCTACTTCCGTAGTGATACTGCCTCGGAAACCCAAGGAGGGGTCGCTATGAGTCGGGGCCGACTCGACGGCACATAACAATAACAACAACAACAACTTAAAGGGACTTCCAGTAAGATTGTGGAACACATTCAGATATAATAAAATATAAAATCAGGGTGAAACAAATCAACACATAACTAGCAGTTAAACACAACAACTTCCAAATGTCTAGGAAACAACAGACAACCTCAAGTCAAACAAACAAAAAAGACAAGACAATAGAAATAAAATCCAAGGCTAAAGAATTATCTATCATGGAAGAAGAACAAGCAATAGAATTATCTGAGAAGGAATTCAGAAGGTAGGTACACAGGATTGTCCAAGAGCTCAAAGAAATCACAAACAGAATCAATGACAAGACAGACAGTACCCTGGAATAATTCAGGAAAACCATTCAAGAATAAAATAACAACATAAATACACAATTGGAACTCATACAAAACCAGTAGTTAGGGACTTCAGGTAAGATGGTGAAAAAGGTAGACAAGCTGCACAGACCCTCTTCAACAAAGAAAAGAGAAACCAATTGACAGAGATACAGAAGATAATCCTGGAGCCCTGAACTTTGAAAGGAAGTACACATAAGTGTATCAGTCACCAATTAGTGGAAAAACCTGAATAAAAACTGTGAGTACAGAGATGGTTGGAGCAGTCAGCTACTCTGATAGGACCAATAGCCTAAATATTTCCAAGTGATGTTGGGACCTGAGAATTGCCCTAAAGATCAGCCCTGGTTACCAAGGGCTGCAGAGACAACTGCACTGGTGGCCTATGATTAGGAAGGAAAACAGCAAGGAGGGAGACGACCTGAGTTGTGGACTTTTCAGCTCTCTGGAGGATGCAGCCATTTTGATTGTTTACACGTGGGCCATTTCGGATATTTAAAGTGACCCAGGGTACAGCCATTTTGAATGTTTACAA